AAATAAATAAGCATTAAAAAAAATACTATCATCTACTGAGTGATTGTTATGTGTAAGGCACTATTCTAGAAGCTTTACATATATTATGATAATCTCTGTAAGACATAATTTCCCTCTTATAGATGAGGAACCTGAGGCTTAGAGAATTAATTCACCCACTATTATGTAGCTAGTCAAGGGGCTGGGCCGAAATTTGAAACTTGGTTGATCATGGTTCTAAAACTTTTGTTCCTAACTACTGAACTGCAGTTAAGTTAAAATATTTTTTCAACTTGAACAATGTTCTTTCATTTCACTGTTATTCAATCTGGGATTTCATACATATAGTTAGACAAAGCAGGGGAGAAACAAAACACGTACAGGTGTGCCCTGCAGTTTCAATTTACAAGCTTCCCAAATGGATCTAAGATGGCCAAATAAGGGATACAAAAAGAGAGGAGGACGAACGCTTTCCTTGATCTATGTCCCTACATCGCCAACAGAAAGTGCACACAGCCATGCTCTCGGAAAAGTAACTCATCTTGAATCTCTGGTCTGTGGCGTAGATAGGCAAGCAAGATAAGAATCAGTCTTTGTGAAACCATTTCCTATTGTAGCTTGCAACACAAACTCGCTCCTTATTTACTACATTCCCTAATAAAGATCATAGCTTTGTGTTTTCTGCTATTGAAATGTTTAGATACTTCCAAACAGGAGTAGATGTTAGCAAGTAAAAATATCAAAGCTTATAATTTACTCTGCCATCAGAGGAGAAATAAAATATTCTCCCTTGCCTTATGAGCTCAAGGCTTGGTGAAGAGATCCTAATGAAGTGAAGGAGTCAAAGGTTATGGTTCCTATAGAACGCTGTCATCTCATAGGAGGTGGCAAGGAGTCAGATACTTACTTGTCTACAAGAGTCCGTATGACTGCTAGTGTGTCCAGCACTAGTCCATCTACATTTTGTTTCTTTCTCCTTGGCTCATGTGGTCCTCGGCCCCTCCTTGGTGGCCGAACAGGGTCCCGGGGTTGGCTCCTCATGTCAGCAGTGGGTACTGCACTGTTCTCAGCTTGTTGCTGCTGGGTGTCAACACTATCTTCCGCTCCACTGTCATCTCGGCAGATACAGGAATTACCCATGGTAGCAGTGGCACCTCTAGTCCCCAGGAAGTGGGCTATGTGCTCCTCAAGAGTCAACAGCAGACCCTGGCCAAGGCTTCTGCTCACTAAGAACACGGCCCAACCAAAGACAATCATTTAGATAGTTTTCAGTTTTCCAAGTACTGTTTTCATAATCTGGAGTGGAGGAACTTGCATTCTATTTGTTTTTAACAAACGAATATGGAAGAAAGTTGCAGAACCGATCTCCAACATTATCAATTCCAGGGAATCTGGGTCATCCAGTGGCAGTTCTAAAAGAGAAGAAAAGAAAAATGCATCAGAGATTCTTGGTCATTTAATTACTCACAGTTTCTAAGTTTGATTTTACAGGCATAGGATTACAGTGGGAAATCATCTCTGGTTATTTTTATAGGTTTCCGACACAAAGAGGTACCTTTACATAAGGGAATTACGATCAAGAACTTCTTTTTAGCACTACAACATAAAGTTGATTGCTAAACCATATCCTTGTAAACCACACAAATTACCACTGATTTTTCCCCCCAAAATCCATATGCATGGTTCTACCTATGCAGAAATACATTAGAAGAATATGTACCATTGTTGCAAAGACTCCTTTAATGGATTAAAAAAAGAAAAAAGAACTGTTTCCTTTTTAAATTTAAATGTATGAGAAAAGTTAATATTTCAAATAAACTATCTAATTACAGATGCTTATTGTTAAAAAAAAGTTATGATACAAATATGCTAGCACCCACTTGATATCAAGGAGAATAAAGAGTAGAGTGTTTCATTTGAATGCAATCACCAAACTGTACACGTTTCCCATTTGGAGGCACTCTTGAGAATTTACAGAAATCATACAAGCAGTTACAAAGTTTTTCTGTTATGTCAGCAAGACTGTTTGGAGAGAGGCAAATATACATTACAAAGTTACATTTTCACAACGATGAGTTTTTTGTACAATATGTCTGCTGCTACAAAGTTACGAAAGAGCACACCCATGATCTTTGTCTAAAAATACTGACTAGGCACCCTATGCCTACACCATGCTGGCACTGGGAGAATAAAAATGAACAAGGCACAGTCCCTGCCCTCTAGGAATTCATGGATGGCAATTCTCATCCCATACAGTCTGGTCATCAACAAAAACCTAATGATAGAACCACCTCCTCATTAAACTGAGAAAATCTGGTTAGGTCTAGAAAGGATTTGGAAGAAGAAAACAGAAGTGGGAGGGGGTTGGCAATAGAAAGTAAAAAATCATGCCAAGACCCGGAGACAAGACCCATAAGGACAAAATGGACGTATAAGGAATAGAGACTAGTGTATACTCTCAACATTTGGTTATTTACAATTAAACTGTGTATATTGAGCACTGGCTCAGGAATAGCTATAAATAAAATGTGTAATTCAATGGAGCAAGAGAAAAGCAAGAGAAAAATTAACTCCATTATTGGGACAGATTTGCAGCAAATTCTTTTAAATATTTGCCTAGTTTAATTACTGTTCATGGGGGAAAACTAAAGGAAAGGAGATGGAGATAGAAAGCCTTTACTCATATGTATAATAATCTAATATAACCCACAGAGGGAGGGGGAGGGACAACAGAAGGAAGAGGAGGGAGGGATGGGAAGAAAGAAGAGAGTTAACAGACAGTATCTCTCTCCAGACAAGCAAGATAGCAATGGCTGAGCCAAGTAATACCATAGGTATTTTGGTTCTCCCCAGTCAGGCTGTCTTTAAAATTTGGAGGTTATACTTAAAAGGATGTGACTGAAGTATAGGTAGGAGCATAAGACAAGGACTCTGCTGGAAACAGCTTTTTAAAAGAGAATCAACAAAGAGTTGAAGTAATACCATTCCCATTACTGCAGGGACCATGGTATACATACAATTCCCCTCAGAGAGTAGATAATTAAGAGCTCTCAATGCTTAAAAGGACAAGAGACAGAAATCAGAAATAAGGCTTTAAAAGGGTCCCTGCTATAAATTTGATCTTATAAACTATGCTGCTAAGACCAAAAAGTAACATATTTAAGAAGCAGTGCTCCAGCCCTTCTCACAGAAATTTCAGAGAAGACACTGTTGGAACAATTCAGACGAAGTGGGTAAAGAACCCAACGTTTTCTGGTAGGTCTGCCCAGTTGATATGCCACTAGAGCACTCCCATGAAATATCAAAGAACTATATTAAAAGTTTTTTATCTGTTAACTTTTTAATGTTTACTTATTTTTGAGAGAGAGAGAGCACGAGCAAGCAGGAGTGGGGGAGAGGCAGAGAGACGGAGACAGAATCTGAAGCAGGCTCCAGGCTCTGAGCTGTCAGGACAGAGCCCGATATGGGGCTCGAGCCCATGAACCATGAGATCATGACCTGAGCTGAAGTTGGACACTTCACCAACTGAGCCATCCAGGCACCCCATCTGTTAACTTTTTAAAACAAAAGATGGATGCACTTTCATTTTAAGACTGAAATGCTGCATACAATCTACAGAAAAGTGAAAGCCTCTCTTCTGCATAGCCCATTCCTTTCCCAGAGGTAACCCCTGCTAAAAGCTTCATGTGTCTGTTTGCACACTAATATACTTAAAAACAACAACTATTTTTTAAGAGAGAGGCTGCAAGTGAGAAAAGGGCT